GACGCCATAACCCAAAAAGTGATTAATTACCTGAATATATAATATTGCATATAATATAATCAAAGTATATCTCCTGTAAGAATAAAATAATTAATTTCTAAAATTTAAATATTACCTACCGTATTAATTTGGAAAAAGAGAAAAAAATTTACAATTGTTTTATGCAACAACTATATTCACTATCTGTGGGTGATGTTAACTCCTAATAGTAATTTAGCACCAGGAGACAGCTCTCTGACACTGACAAAGAGACAACAACTTAAATACTTAAAGCTTTCCTCTTAAAACACAGTGAAAAATGTCATCAGCATGAGGAAAGTCAAAGGAACGAATTAATGACATGTTAGTTCAAATGTATTTTACACTACTGAAGTTAAATAAGAAAAAAATTTATCCAAACAAAAAAGGGCAAGAGAGCTAGGTTCTCAGTCTACCTCACTATCTTTCTATCCATCTAATCATGTTTTGATACCTAGCAAATCCAAAAGCTAGACAAGGAACAGTCTTAACTGAGGGGAAAATTTCATTAATTGGATACTAGTAATCAGCGAATTTTTGACATGTGCAGAAGTACATATCATGTAAATTATATCATAAACATAATATCGTACTCAAGAGAGTTCATGTCAGTTTACTCCTGTAATGTAGCACAATTTTCTTACTCATTCAACTCACATTAAATATTTTATGTAATAAACGATTTTATCTGCTTGTTCTGAGAAAGAAATCTCACTGTATTAGAAAGATTTACTGTTTTATATCTGACAAGAATGATATCTTTAATTAGATTAAACAGTATTTTTTGTGATTTTTTTGGTTTACCTTTAAAAACAATAATGAAGTGGAAAGGACTCTTACAACAGCATTTAAAGATTATATAAAAAGCACATACATAAAAAAGAATCCCTGTATTTGCTTCCCAATTAGGTTAATAAGTAGTTCTTACTCTCACTTATAGTTTTATAAGAACATAAAAGTTTTGAAAACATTTCTCTTCCGTTTCTCTAGGCTTTTCTTCAACTTCCTAGGTGACATTGAAAAATAGCTTAACATAAAATTCCGAGTTTCTTACCTAATGCTTCACTGTAAAACTGATCCCAAACCTGAAAGTCATACTGCTGGAACCAGAAGTCAAACAAAAACGAAAGCACTAGATTTTTCACCCTTTCCATAAAAGTCATTCTGCTTGTGAGTCCTCCCATGGGAACAGGCACATAGGAAGGTGGAGCTGGAAGCTGCCCACAGTATTTCTCTATGGTGTAGCCCATGAAGAACCTTAGCGTGTTCACAAAAGGGATCCCAAGCATCTCAGCCACCAGTTCCCCACAGGGTATCACAGGGTCTGTAATCAACACATCATACTTGGATTCCCGGAGCTTCTTCATGAGCAACTGGTTGTAGACTGTACTTGTACACAGAAGTTTCAAATCTTCAGATGCTTGAAGAAAGAATTTTTGCAGTAGTCTTCCTGATTGCCAGAGTGACAGTGTTGGCATGACATTCACAGCTAGTTCGATAAACTCATTTATTGTATTCTCAGAAACATTTTTGTCAGTTGGTACAGGGATCACTTCAAAATGAAAAGCAGAAGGCTTGCTGTAGTCAATGAAAAAACTGTGTGAAGGAGTCAGAACTGTCACCTCATGTCCTCTTTTCACAAGTTCCTCAAGAAGAGTCTTCAAGTTGAGCCAGTGGCTCATTTCAAAAGGCCTCACCAGCACCTTCCCACAGGATCCACAGCCAGCACAGCAGAGCTGCAGCAGCAGGACCGCACAAGCCCACTTCCCGGGCACCATGCTGGCGTCCTCAGCACACTGCTCTGGACAGGCCCAGTGTGTGTGAGGGTGAAGTGGCAGTTTAGATTACAGGGTGAAGGGGCTAATACAATTAAACATTAACCTTTAGAGATAGGAAAGGATGCACGTGTAGGGCACTTTGCCAACATTACTGATTGGAAGCGCTCCTGTATGTCTCTTGTTCAAGCAATGGAAACCACTTAGATATAGGTAAAGAATGGGTGTTGTGTACTCATAGCAGAATTTTCAATGTTATGATAGGGAAAAGCTGATATTTAAATTAATATTTTCTGAATATAAATGTGAAACTATTTTAAGTAAATACAGTAAAACCCTGGTACATCTATGTGGAAAATAAACACAAGGTTTGCTTTCAAATTGGTTATATTCTCCTCTAAATGATTGGCACAACTCTCAAATTGGCCCTGACTCTCCCAGTATGCAACCTGATTGTGAGTAGGGCCATTGTTCTCAGCAGAAACGCAGCTCAGCACCCGTCCTTGTCAAACACAGGATGTCATAAAAGAGATGGGCAGGGCAGGAAATCTTGCCGGTCCTCAGCCATCTGGAGACACCCAAAATTTATACTGGTTGTCTCAAGGAATGTGCCCAGGGAGATGCAGGACAGCCTGAGAGCTCTGACCACTGATGCTTACTAACTCCTTCCTGCCTGATGTCCCTGTCCTCTTTCTCTCTCTAATGTCCCTTTGTTCCCTACAATTGGCCTTACTAGCCTTTGTCTGCCTGCACCTAGGTACCACACTGTAGCCCTGCTGCTTTCCCCAGAGCCTGTGCAGTGGTCTCTGCCTTGCTTCTTTGTTTACATCTGGCACCTAAACCCAGGAGATGGAGAGACCAAAAGGTTTCTCTCAGGGAGGGTCTCAAGTCCTTTACTGAGATCACTTGGTGGGGAACACCCATCTCTCAGACCTTGGACCTAGAGCTCAAGCTATTTCTACCATCCTAGCTCTCTTGCTAGGTGATTCAGTTGGGGCAAGCCCCTCAGAGTGGTCTCTCTCCTCTACTGCCTTTCCCCTTTCCTGCTTTTCATTTCCCCCTAAAGTCAGAGAGAGGTTCACCCTGTTTTCCTTGCTTTGTAAATTCCAGCACTGGCCTCAAAAATCACCACCATCAAGGCTACTTCCGTGTAGTCCCTGGCCCATTGCAAGGATGTTTGCTAAGCACAAATGGCTCACGTTTCACAGCTTGGGTCCCAGTTGGAGGTGTCCACTGGGAGATACAACCACTCTCCCGCAGCGCTCTCTGTACTCCAATTTGGAGTCACCGGTCCTCAATCCTTCAGTCCTCCGCTGTGGCTTGCTCCTATGGAGTTTGAAACTCCTCTGTCTCTCTGCTGGTGTGAAACCCAATGGGTTATTATTTTCTGTAACACAGCCTGGCCACACTACAAGTGAGATAATGTCTCTGTAGGTTATCCACAGCAAGTTTGATATTTCCACTTTGTGAGTTCTGGACAATTACCACTGTAAGCCAGTGAAGTGGTCTGATGTCTGGACCTTCCTTACACTCTGAAGTATTCCTATTTTTCAGGCGATCCCTCCCAAATTCTCTTCTTTTCCTTCCATCCACACCCCCTCTGCTTCCCTCCAGTACTGATGCTCCCATGCCGACATATGTTTTTCTTTGCATCTTCCCGATGACCTAGCTGACCTTTTTCCTGCAGGCTTTGCTTTTCCTCAGCATCTTTCCACCCCCTCCAGCTGAACAACTTCCAGCACCCCTGGTCCTCCTGCACAATTCCTGACCATACCCAGTGCAGCTGAGTCACATCCTCTGGAAGAGCCCTGGCCCATCCCAAACCTGTCTCCTCTGTGTACCCAGCACTGCTCTCCAAAGCAAAACTTCCTCCTTACGTTTAGTCTCTGTCCCATATGTGACCCAGTCTGTAGTTTGGTGCCTCGTCCTCTTTCCTTGTCCTGGATTTCTACTTGAGGAGGTGGTTGAAACTGAAGGAATCGTTTGGGCTCGTGTTACTTGGTCCATGTTGGGTGTGGCTCAGATTAGTCAGCATCTGGGTTCCTCTGTTTGACCTCAACAAATATGTCCAAGAATTTCACTACCTTTTCCAGTCTTAAGATCTCACCAAGATAACCTAAATATCTTTAGGTTCTTCTACCCTCTCATCCTACCCTTCTACCCTCTCATCCGCGGAACGGGAATGTGTTTAGGCTTTAGATCAAGACATCATGGATGACTGCAGGTGTCTTGAACCTAATTTTCAGGAGGGAGTTTTGGCAGGCCCTGGGCCCGCCCAAACTGCGCTTTAATCAGCTAGATGAGCACAGACAGTCCCTGATTGCAGAAGGTGTAAGTCTATGGTCACTTGCTTGGTGGGAGGGTTTTGCAGGGCAGGACAGAGGGCAGGCAGTTACGACAGGTTTAAGGAAACCTCCCAGACAAAAGATGAGGATCCAGCTCGATTAAGTCCCACCTGGCGCCTGCCCTCAGTTACTGTACAGCCCTGCAACCAGAGGGCGAACAGAATTTAAAGATGCATTTTATCACCCAGTCTGCCCTGAATACTCAGAAAAGTTGCAGAACCTGGAGACAGGCCCTGCAACTCTACAGCAGGAGTTAGTTAATTTGGTATTTGAACTTTTCAATAGTAGGCATGAGGTTGCCCATAAACCGCTTCTTACTGACTTCGTTTTTGCCTCCATTTTAAGAAATGCACAAGTAGCCAAGCGTGCTGGCACAAGCCTGTAATCAAGACCAGCCAGGGCCACCCTGAATTGTCTCAAAAAGCAAAAATTTTAAAAAAATAAAGAAAAGAGACCCACAAGTACAAGTTGGACCTAAGCACCAGCCAACCGCCAGGGGTGCTGCTAGGGCTCCCCTACACAGAGGCATGCCTCCAGGGCCATGCTTCAAATGCTGCCAGCCTAGCCCTTGGGCTAAGGCATGGGCAGCCTGGATTCTTTCAAAGCTATGCTGCTTCTGCGGGGGACCTCCCTGGAAGTCGGCTGCCCCACGCTGAGGTCTGGCACTGGAGTTGCTCAGAATCCCCAGCAGGCTTTCTCCCCAAAGTCCTCAGACTGGTGAGGGAGGGCTGACACTTTCTGAAAACTCCTCAGCCCCCTGCACCATCTCAGATGCTGAGCTTTAAGAAACTTGAGGAAGAGGGGAAGTTCACACATTCTGTGACAGAGAATAGGACAACTCACTGCACCTTGGCTTTTTTCAAGACCTCAATTTGTATTGTGTGTGTTAGTGGTCAACTCTCCAGGCCTTTTAAATCTCCTCTACTTTGGAGCCAGTTAGGTCCATAAATTTTCCTCTACTCCTTTCTAACTGTTCTCACCTGCCCCAGCCGCTCCTGGGAGGAGATGTCCTAGCCACATATTTGTGACTTCACTATTCCCAGCCTTGTCCTGCTGTCCTCACTGCTCTCTTCTCTCCATCTCTAACCTTGACAAAGAGCCCATTGCCTCCCCAAATCTAAACCCTAGGGTCTGGATACCAAGTCCCCTTGCCTGCCTCTCAGTCAAGCCCCTCTCATGACCCTACTAAAGCAACACCACCCCTACCCCTCTCAGTGTCAATTCCCTGTCCCCAGTCAGGCTCAAAGGGGACTAAAGCCAACTATTTCTCACTTATTCCAACACAGTCTTCTAGTACCTAGCAATTTTCCATAGAGCACTCCTTTGCTCCCTGTTCCAAAGACAGATGGCACATGTGGATTGGTCCAGGACCTCTGCATTATTAGTCAGATAGTCCTTATCTCTAGTGCTGGATCCATATAGCCCTTGTCTTCTGTCCCCCTGTTTACTACCTACTACTCAGTTCTAGATTGAGGGACATTTTCTTTACAGTTTCCTTACATCCCACCACACAGCCTCTCCTCACCTATACCTGGACAGACCCCGACACTCCACCCTTCCCAAGAGCTGACCTGGGCCTTCCTCCCACAAGGGTTCAGAGTCAGCCTTTGATATGTCAGTCAGGACTTTGACTCCAAGGACTATTGGATCCCAGGGCCATTAGAAATGCCTTAGCAGATAAAACCACAAAGGAAGCAGCTAATCTCTCCCAGCATGCTACAGAAGGCCAATACTTTGCCCTGTCCTGCTTCCTTCCCACATACCCACCTCTGTGCTTCAGCTGTGGCAGAACTACCATGCTTGAGGTTTCTCCCCAACTCAGGACAGTCAGATTGACTCACCTACATGCCATGGGGGTGAAAGGTAAAATGTTTTAGTCTAGGTCCCCACCCTCACTGGGTGGGTAGATGGTTTCCTATCAGATCAGAAAAAGCCTCAGCAGCCATTACCTCTCCTAACTGATAACACCCCCTGATGTAGTTTCCCCTCCTCCACTGAATCTGATAAGGCCTCAGCTTTTATCAGTCAAATTACCCAAGGGTTGTCTGAGTTGCTAGGGATCCAGTGGAATTTACATGTTCCCTACTGACCTCAGTCCTTGAGTAAAGTAGAAAGAGCCAACAGTTTACTGACAGCCCATCTTACTAAACCCACACTCCCCCTTCACACTGACTGGGTCCTTCTCCTCCCAATTGCTCTCTTAAGAGTTTGCCCTATTCCCAGAGAGCTTACCACATACACTTCCTTTGTCTTTGATATTGGCACACATTCCTGCTTGGGTCAAACAGCCAGAGAGAAGCCCTACTGCAGATTATGTGCAGGTTTTACAACAGTTCTGAAAATCATACAACATGCTGCCAACCTGCTCCTGCCTTCTCCTGACACTCACCCTTGTGAGGATAACATGGTTACAAATTCATTCTGATCAAAGGTTTAAATCCCTGATCCCTCAGGCAAACTGGAAGAGAACTTTGAGAGTCATCTGTATCACTCCAATGGTTGTCCATTTACAAAAATCTCTGCCCTGGATTCACTGGTCTAGAATAAACAAGTACCCAGCTGATAATTCGCCTAACTCTCTTTTTGGAAGTTGCTACTAATCTCTCTGACATCCCTCAGGCTGGCCAGCTTTCCCAAAATGCCTAAGAACACTGCCAACTTTCCTGTTTTAT